CCTCCTCCTCTTCCTCCTCCTCCTCGCCACGCACCTCTCCTTTGCAAGGCTGCTCAAGGGTTCCTCCTCCCCCCCCCCTCTTGGTGGGGGTCCCAAGCCAGAACCGCAACTCGGGGCGCCTCCCTTTAAGCACCCCAACCCCCCTCGACCCCCATCCGGACAAATCCGAGGTGAGCGGCGATGATGGAAGGCCCGGTGCGGGTGGGATACGGGGAGCGGAGAAGAAAGCTTTTTGGTCCCATGGATTGCGGTCTGGCGGGGAGCCAGGCCCCGGCGTTGACCGGCGGTTGAACTACAGCGTGAAGGCGTGTGTAATGCTACTCAGGGGTTTTGTACGGCCGCCAACGAGTACATATGCAGAGGGCAAAAGTTTAGAGCGAGACGAGGCTCTCCGAGTTAACCCTCTCGCGCGGCACGTAGCGGATCCCCGGATCTCGCCGTTTCTCCACCCCCCCCAAACCCCCCCCACCCCAGGGGGATTTTTAAAAAAAGATTGGGAACTTTCAATTATTCTTTTATTTCCAGTTCTCAAGCCGCGAAGAAGAAGTCGGCTTCAGGGTGGAGGGAAACAATGGGGGGCATTGTTGACACGCACACACACACACACACACACATACACACGGGTTCCTCTTTCTCTCAGCCCCCCCCCCCCCAGCAGTGGGGCATGGGATAGGGGATAGTTCTCAACTTGCGACGGTCCAACTTTTACAACCGTCTCTGAAAGAAGCGGCTCAGAGCCCGTTTTTTACCACGCTTCACTCCCCGCGGTCCAAATTCAGAGGCTTGCGCACACACCCCTCCTATTTATGATGGTCTCGTATTTATGACGGTCACAGTTTGTCCCTGGGGTTGTGTGTGTGTGCGTGTACCTGCGTGTGTGTGTGTGTCACGCCATCCCCTTTTGCCAAGTCACTCGGTGAGCCAGATCCGAGGAGAGGAGAAGAGAGGAGAGAATGAAATAGGAAGAGAAGAGAATGAAATAATAGAATAGAACAGTATAGAATAGAATAGAAAATGGAATGGAATAGAGTAGAGTAGAATAGACTAGAAGAGAAGAGAAGAGAAGAGAAGAGAAGAGAAGAGAAGAGAAGAGAAGAGAAGAGAATAGACTAGAAGAGAAGAGAATAGACGAGAAGAGAAGAGAAGAGAATAGACTAGAAGAGAAGAGAATAGACGAGAAGAGAAGAGAAGAGAATAGACTAGAAGAGAAGAGAAGAGAATAGACGAGAAGAGAAGAGAAGAGAATAGACGAGAAGAGAAGAGAATTAGATCTAGGGACCTTGGAGGTCTTCTAGTCCAACCCCCTGCCTAGGCAGGAAACCCTACACCACTTCAGACCAATGGTTATCCAACATCTTTTTAAAAACTTCCAGTGTTGGAGCATTCGCAACTTCTGGTGGCGAGCTGTTCCACTGATGAATCGTTCTAATTGTCAGGAAATTTCTCCTTCGTTTTAAGTTGCTTCTCCCCTGGATTTGTTCCCACCCATTGATCGCTTGGCTCCCCTCTCCTTTGGGCCAGCCCCCCGAGATACGGGAAGGCCGCTCTCCTGTCTCCCCTGGTCCTCCTTTTCATTAGACTAGATTGTGAAAGTCTCGGCCTTGTTTATAATCTGGTGTTTTTTTTTCCCCCGCCTTTAAAAAAAAAAAAAACCAAAAAACCAACAATGAGGACACCGGGTGAAAAATGTAGCTGCACAGGTTGTGTTGCCTGCAGTGAGACCTGCCCCGTGGGAGATTCGGTGGGGTTGTTTTCGGCCCCCTTACACAAATTCCTTCCAAATAGTTCCCATTTTCTCCGCTTAAGCCTGCAACACAAGCATGCCGGTTTCTCGCCAGAAAGACAGGTTCCCTCTGGCCAAGTCAGAAATAATCCTCTTTCCTCCTGCCTGTCACCGTCTTAATTTTTGCACGTCGTTTCCCCCCCTGTATTTTTGCTACTGCGAAAGACTTGACCCAGGTAATCCTCTACCCACCCACCCCCCAAAAAATACTGTCTATTGTGCTGGAAAGGCCTCCAGTTCTTGGTTGTTTCTAATTTGCTAGATCCTCCGTTAAACAAACACACAGAAATAAACTAAAGGGATTAAATCCAAACTGAACACTCCTCTGAAAGTAATTTGGGGGAGCGTAAATCATCAGAAATCGTCCCCGTCTAATAGAATGTAAAAAGCTGGAAAGTTTGGAGAAAAGAAGAGTGGGGAAAAAAATTAAAAACATTGCAATCTCTATATCATAAACAAATCATCTGGGGAAACTTGGACCAGGCTGCAGACTTTTTAACTCTCAGGAATTTGTCATGCAATATCACAATAATTCCTTTATTTCATAGTCCTTCAAGACACCACGGCAATGTTTTAGAAGCCCTGAGCTGCTTCTTGGCCATAAATACGGGTTTATTTAACACTTCATACTTTATGTAATATTTAATCTTGATAAATATTAATAACCTTAATACTTTAAGTGGAAACTTCCTAGGAAGGTATTAATATTTTAATACTCGACTCATGACCGCCGCTGAAGCCCAACGTTGACGTTGCTAAGTGAGACGGGTGTTAAGTGCGCTTTGCCCCGGTTTTTAACGGCCTCTCATGCGATCGTTGCTAAGCGGATCGTTGCAATTGTGAATTCCCACGGTCGTTGAGCGAATCCGCTTTCCCCATTGACAACATCCAGGACTCGTTGTCATAAGTCGAGGACTACCCGTATAGAAAGGGAAGCTTTTTAAGATTGAAAAGAGGGAGAGAAAGAAAGAGGGAGGGAGGAGGAGAGAAGGAGAGAAAGAAGAAAAAAGAAAGGGAGAGAGGGAGAGGAGGGAAGGACAGAGAGACAGAAGGGGAGAGAAAGGGAAAGAGAGAAAGAAAGAGAGGGACGGAGGGAGAGAGAAAGGGAGAGGAGGGGAGAGAAGGAGAGAGAGACAGAAGGAAAGAGAAAAAGGAGGAGGGAGGATGAGAGAAGGAGAAAGAAAGAGGGAGGAAGGGAAAGAGAGGAAGAGGAGGGAAGAAGAGAGAAAGGGAGAGGAGGGGAGAGAAGGAGAGAGAGAGACAGAAGGAAAGAGAAAGGAGGGAGGAGGAGCGAGGGAGAGAAGGAGAAAGAAAGAGGGAGGAAGGGAAGGAGAGAGAGAGGGAGGGAGGGAGAGAAGGAAAGAGGGAAAGGGAAAGAGAGAGAGAAAGAAACCGATTCAATGATCTGGGGTGTAATTTAAACCCCAAAAAGGAGACGGGCTGCGCAACATTCGGCACCGTCCCTGCCAAAGAATTTGCGCTTCACAATTGTGAGGAACGGGGGGGGGGGGGGGGGGGGCCTCTTTGCGGAGCCTCCGCTGTGTGGCTGATGCGTCTCAGTTACACAACGGCCTCCTTGGCCTCCCGCGCGCTTTGCAAAAAATCATATCTGGGGCTCCCGAGCCAACCTAACACCGCTCCAGCAACACACACACACGCACACACACACACCCTTTTGGCAAAGCGTCAGAGAGGCTGCCACGAAGCCCGAAATTCAGACGGTCCTCGCTTGGCTCACGGTTGTCCGCTTAGCGACCGTTCCAAGTTTCCCCAGGGCGCTGGCTGGGGGGGGGGGGGGGGTGGTGGGGACTTAGGAAGCCAGATGGACGCGGCCTGAAAGGGGCGGAGGGCAGTCTGTGCTTTCTCACTGGCCTTATCCCGGGTTCAAGTCCTGCCCGCTGAGCAGCCTTGCCTCCCTCCCCCCACCTCCTTCCTTCCTTCCCTTGACTTGTGATGGATCCAGTTCCTTGGCTTGGGAACAGGGACTCCCAGCCCTGGAAGGAAGAGAAGACTCGGCTCTGGGAGAATTGGATGCTACTCTGGGTGAACTGGGAAAGGGTGTGTGTGTGTGTGTGCGTGTGCGTGTGGCCAGAGGACAGGCCGTGCCAGAGAAGAGAACAAAACAGACCCGAGAGCCCGTCTCCTAGCCAGAGGCAGGGCCTTCCTCGTCTCTCCAGAGAGCGCGCTCGGCCCGTAGACTTGTAGAGCGCTGCTGCGCAGGGCTTTCTGCAGTCCTCTCTTAAGCGGTTTGCTAAGCGTCAGCCGAGTCTCGCCCCTCAGCAGTCTGGCTCCTCGTTTTACCAACCTCGGACGGGCGGATGGACGACCTTGAGCCAGTCGGTCAGGATCGAACTGCCAACAAGCGGGCAAGGAGTTAAGCCTGCAATTGCTGCACTCTGGCCACTGTGCCCCCATGGAGGGAGGGAGGGAGGGAGGGAGGGATGGATGGATGGAAAGGTAGGTGGGTAACTAGGTAGGTAGGTAGGTAGGTAGGTAGGTAGACATACAGACAGACAGACAGATTGGTAGATAGACAGTGTAGGTAGGCAGGCAGGCAGGTAGACCTTTTGGATGAATGTATG